GGCTTTATTTAAGCATTGTCATTTTCATCTCTAACTCTTGTGATGTGGTCCAATTGAATATTTTCTGTTTGATAAAGAATTACTAAGCTGCTGGAATCTTATTGCATGCTAACTTTTTAAAACATGCCGACACATATAACATGTAAAAGTAACAAAGTAATGAGTTAAAATATTTGAGTATATTATCACAAGTAAATTTGGCAAATACAATCATAAGCACTGCAAAGCAGTTGAATTTTTGATTTTTTCAAAGAGATCACGAAATAACACAGGAGAGTTATTTTCTTCAATTGCAAAAGATCTCATAGGAGTTCATATGCAGAGTTAGTACAGAAATAGGTAGATAAAATTTGATGGCGGGGAATGACTCAGCGGATGTTGTGCAGCCTCAAGGGATACTTCAAGAAATATCGAGTCAGCAGTTTTGTGCAGCAATCTTTATAGTGAGAATGAAATTCATTCACCCTAAAGGAGCAAACTTGCCAACTTTACTTCATGCAGAATGCTGGTGTGATGGGCTTCCTTGTGTTGCATTGCTGCACAACTATAATTTTTTTCTTACTGCTTGCTCTTTAAGTTTTTCAAATTAAAATATCCCAGCATAGTTGCTTTTTTGAAAATATTTAATGATTCACCTTGGTTTTTGCTAAGCCTTGACTTATATTTATTGGACTAGATCCAGACTTAGTCATACTCACACTAGTCATGAATAACTTAAGTCAATCAATTTCATGCACCATAACTATTTTGACCTTTGCCTCACTTTAGAAGAGACACGAAGTATCTCTTTTTTCTGCCTCTGGAAAACTTCTCCTCACCAATCATGCTTCCTGTTCTATATTTCTATCATGAACCAATATGGGATATTGCTTGTATCAAGTCAGACTATTGAACTGTTTAGCTCAGTATTGTCTGCACTAACTTTCAGACATTCTCTAAAGTCTGGGATAAATGTCGTTTCTATGCCAGAAAACATCAAGGAAAGAAACCTAGGCCTTTTGTATGCAAGCCATGTGCTTATGAAGCAGCCCTTCTCCTGTCTTATCTCTTCAGTACAGAAAGATATTAAAGATGTTGAGGAAGTAAGGGAAAAATCAAAGGAAGAATGGATAATCTTCCCTGTTGGATACATGCTTTCTTGGGATTCTGGGAAAACTGAACTATATATATATTTGCCATTTACAGGGTGAATTTTTGGAATGTACATTTTGTGGTTTATTTGCTATTGGAAACTTTGTATAGCATGTCACACTTCAACATACCTCAATCCAACGTCCAAAGAAAGCCAGCAGTATATTAATTAAAATGCAGTGTCAGGATCTCCTGATAGACTTCTGATTGGTTCTGGCATGGATTTTTTTTCTATCTTTTTAAAAAAGGGTAACAGGATGCTGACCAATGCACTTATGTTAAGCACCTTTGTGAACAAATCAATATCTGTCCATCGTTGTCAGCCAATATCTGTTTCTAAATTCTCAACACTAGTTAATTCCTTTTGTTCCATTCACTTTATAATATATTGGAAACACACTTGCAAATTTGTATGCATTCAAAAGTGTATTTTTTAAATGATGATTTTGTATCTGTTTATGCAATCTACAGTTTGATTTGTGATAGTTGTACATTTCATGTACTGTCTTGACTTTGTCCTCCAAGGGAAAATAATACTAATAATACTAATAATACTACTACTACTAATAATAATAATAATTTATTTATATTCCACTCTGTTTCCCCAAAGGGACTCAGGGTGGATTCCAAACATAAAAGGCAAACATTCAATGCTCAAATACAACAACAATACATCCATGTTAACAAAATTTAATCAACATATAAACATGAGTTATAACTTAACAACTAAAATTAAATTTTAAAAAAAACAGCCTGTTATAACAGATATGAGAGAAAACATCAAACATCAGCATTTGAAGGCAGGAGCAAAGCCAGTATAGCATGTTTGAGAAGAGTAAGATTTCCAAGATCATCCAATGAATTGTATACAGAAAAAGATGGGACAGAGCTATGTCTACAACTACTGAAATACTTTGGATATACAACAGGAAGAACATATGTACTGGTGTGGAACTGTACTGAAGCTGTTTTGTGCTTCATGTAGCCAATTGAGCTGACAATGTGTTAGTGCTAATTTTCTATTACCCTGAGAACCATAGTCATTGCTGTTTCACTATCCAGAAGCAATTCCCCAGGAGAGCCTTGCTGGTGCTATCACTTCTAGTGAGGTGACAACAAGGTACTCAGACATGTGATCAGCAGAAGCAACATTTCCAGCAAGGCTCTGGCAAGGAGCTTCTTCTGGACCGTGAGAAAACAGTGGGTCTTTCTGATGTGTAGACACTGGGATTACCCTAGATTCAGATATACACATGCCTAACACCCCTGAAGTCACCCCAGAGTTTTCTGGAAGTTCTGGAGTAACCTGCAGTAATTCTTGTGCTAGATTAATGGCTGGGAGCAGTGTTTCTGCTGTAGAACCAGCTGTACATCATGTGTATTGCTCACAGTAGGTTTGAAGTATGTTTTTTGGCTTGTGGTGTGGGTCTCCCAACTCAAAATCCATCACCCTGTACTACTATTGCATGTTATGAGATGCCTCTCATTGTAGTTACAGGTGGCACCCCAATCATACATTAATCAAGAAAATATGGGTGGAAAGAGTGGGGTCACTGCTTTCTTCTAGTTTTTTCTCCCATGTCCCTACCAACATCATGAGCCCTTTGTACATACATGAAGCCACCATGAATCCCCTTTTGGGAAAGAGGCAGGATATTAATTCTAAAAATAAATAGAATAGAATAGAAACTCAATTGAAATACCTGAATGGGTTTATTTATTTAGTGTATTTATACTCCATTCTTCAGTCACAAAGTGTTCCACTCTTAACTCTAAGTAGGATTTAGTTCAGAAGTTGAAGTACAAAGAGTATTCTATAACAAATAGTCCAAATCAAGAAGTTATAAATCAAAGCAAAGTCCAAGCAGAAGAGTCAGTAAACATTAGAACATCATAAATCCAAGATGTACAATATCAGGATCAAGTTGTCAAGTCATCAAGGGGTGGATTGGAACTTGTTTCCAGTGAATAACAACCACTTATTGTTTCCAGTGAATAGCAACCACTTATTTGCTGCTTTTAAGGGCAGTCAGTTCTGGCAATGCCACTGTACTAGACCATATACTATACCAGGGGTCCTCAAACTAAGGCCCGGGGGCCGGATGTGGCCCTCCAAGGTCATTTACCTGGCCCTCGCTCAATGTCAACCTAAGTCTGAAATGACTTGAAAGCACACAACAACAACAACAACAACAACAACAACAACAACAACAATCCTATCTCATCAGGCAAAAGCAGGTCCACACTTCCCACTGAAATGCTAATAAGTTTATATTTGTTAAAATTGTTCTTCATTTTAATTATTGCATTGTTTTTAAGTGTCTTTTGCACTACAAATAAGACATGTGCAGTGTGCATAGGAATTCATTCATGTTTTTTTTTCAAATTATAATCCAGCCCTCCAACAGTTTGAGGGACTGTGATCTGGCCCTTTGTTTAAAAGGTTTGAGGACCCCTGTACTATACACATCTCACGACTGTGAGTGCAAAGTTCTTTTTGCTGCATCTACAAGGGAGTCTGTTTCTGATGCTTTGTCTTTCCCATGGGCTTGGTGGTCTTACTTCCACCTCCTTCTGTTGCTGAGAATCTTGGCTGGAGAAGAACTTGGCTGAACCTTAAACTATATTGGAGAAGACTGGGCTTAATAACCACAATAATAATAATAATAATAATAATAATAATAATAATAATAATTTTATTTCTTACCTGCCTCTCCTTAGGTAGGTCTGCTTCAACCTCACATGATGAATTCTTGGGAAGGGGGGTATGACACAAAGGCTCTCAGAGAAACTTACACATTATTATTTTGACAGTTGCCCATCCACAGTCTTATAATCTAAACAAGGCATGACAAACAATGAAAAGGGGGTGGCAGCGTGGCACAGGATTAAGTTAAACAGATACTGCCTCTTCTTTCCTTCTGATCTCTACCTGTACGATCCAGACAATTTACTATTTTCTATGTTACTATTATCTACTTTGACCTGCAGAGTTCTTCAAAACCTTAAACAATGTCTTTTTAACTCTTGACTGAAGATATCTTAGATTGTACCTGTAAAGGATGTGCTTTGGTTTGGCAGCAAGTGAAGAAAATTAGATGAAGTGTCTCCCTAAAAAGAATCTTCCAGTCATCCTGAGCAACAAAAAGAAGCATTTTCCAACCATGGCTGTCCCCGATCATTAATCCTTGCTCCTTGTCCCTTATCTGATAGGAACATATTTAAGGTTAGCAGTCCAGCAGATTCATAACGGCTTGGTGGAATGCAATGCACATGGTTGAACATGTTTTTTTTTCTAAAAGCAGGAGTATTTTTCAGAGTTTGTGGAAAATGTTATTTTTCTGTTCTGGCAGCATCACTGAGGCAATGATGCAATTTTACATGTGATGTAATGTGACTTGTGAGGTGGCATTATACCTATGTGTCGCTAACCACAGAAATATGTTTTGCTTAAACCACAAGTAAATTACAACCCTATATCCATGGGACTGGTATCCACATTAGACAAAATATATTCTTGCTAGCAATTTTCTATTTTTCTCTAATTTTCTCCAAAAAAAAAAACCCCAAAAAACTCCATGTTAACCTTTAGCATAAGTCATTCCTTTTAACATGGTTTTCAGTTATCTGGTTTTCGCTTTCCATTGTAAGTCCTGGAACATATCCCCCATGGATAGAGGAACTGTACTATATTTGTAATCAAGAATAATGAGATCTGCATTGTAAAAATATTATGGTGATCATCTAACAATACTGTACTGTGGTCATTTTGGATTGTTTGGCAGCATTCTCTCAGATGTCTTTTTCTAACCCTATTTTGATTAACAGAAATTGATGTTATTAAAACATCTTGTATTGATATTTAATAGGTAGTGCTGGAACACCGGTTGTTTTCAATGAAAATGGAGATGCCCCTGGACGTTATGATATCTTTCAATATCAACTAACCAATCGAAGTGCAGAATATAAAATAATTGGCCATTGGACAAACCAGCTTCATCTGAATGTAAGTTTGTGTAGCTCTGAGTTTTAATTGCATGATTGTCTCATTTTGGTTCTCCTAAGTTAGGAGAATCACAAATGTCATGAAGAATGTCTTTAAATTGTACTTTTACATTATATATCATTGTGATATATCATTACTAAATTAATATAGAATTTTGTAGTGCAGATGCATATGAAAAAATGACCAAGGCAATGGACTTCAAACTGTAGGCATTGTTTATTGCAGTGTGTTATTCCTAGTAGAAGACAGAACATGTGTGAAGTTTTCTCTTACAGAAGAAGAAATGGTACAAAGATTTGCACTATTAATGGAGCTTTGATTGAGGTATAAAATCCAAAATGTATTTGATATAGAAAATATGAATATCAGATTATAAAGACATGTAAATATTAAATTAAGGGATGTACTCCTTAAGTCGGGGTGCAGAGAAGCCCAGCCCATGGGCCACTCTCAAAGTCCTCATCAGTTAAAATTTTTTACAGAACCTTTACATAAACCCCAGTATTATCATAAGTAATAAGTTCAAAATTACATGAAGGCATGCAACAGCAACATATTTAGTACATATTATGCATAATGAACACATTTCTTTATGTGTTTGCCTAATTTATATGTTTTTAAAGATTTATTCCCTGGACTAATATATGTTTGTGCTTATTTTCGAAGTTGGACAATTCTTAGCCATACACATTTTTAAAATATAAGCATGATTTATTTCTCATAAATGTATAGCAGTGTTGTGGCTCAGTCAGAGCCTGAGCTTTCTGGCCTGAGTTTCCTCAGGACGAGGAGGATTATGGGTTACAGATTTCTGAGCATGTTCCGGTTATTGAGGCAGATATTGTTGATTCTGAAGAAGAGATGGTATTTCTGTTCCCCAGAGAAAGGAATGTGGCTTTAGATAAAGATAGTGAAACTTCACTACTGCAGGTGGAGGCTCCTTCTGAGAGCTCAGGGCCTCTTGGTTCCCAGGGTGACCAGGCCCAGCAGGGCCAGGATAATGAGTTATCCGGCCTTGAAGATAGTGGAGACTTGATTAGACAGGACCATTTGCAATTAAGAGTTCGCAGAAGCGCACGCCTTGCCAACAACCGTGAAGCTAAAGGTCAACGTAATGCTTTCATGTTGGGAAAACATATTTAATGATCTGGTCAAAGGGCATTCTTTGTCAGTGCAATGTCAGTTACCCTGTTAACTTCTGTGGAAATACCTTGGCTTTTGGGGAAAGCTTTTTGCTCTTTGGGACTTTGGTTTTGATCTTGATTTTTGGAGACTTTGTCTTGCTGCTATGGACTATTGTTTAACCAATGCTAACAGACTATGTTTCATGTTATTTGCCTTTGGATCTTTGGAACTTCGCCTTTGCATTTAAGTCTCTGTTTTGCCTATTGAACTTTTGCAACTTTATTTCTCTGTTTTAATTTTGCTTTTTCTCAATAAACTACAAAACCTACAGCCTTGGAGTGTGGTGATGGCTTGAGCAAGGTGAATCTATCCTGAGTTGCGACAAGCAGGCACATCAAATATGTATTTTTTCTTGCAATAAGGAGCTGGCTGATTTGAGTAATAATCCTGAATCTAAAAGAATACATTTCCATCCATAGTTGCCTTAGCCTAAAACCAGTTTCCAGGCCCAGTTTTAGCGAACCAATTCAACTAAATGCTGAATGGTAAGGCACTGGCTTAATGGAGCTACTTTTCTTGGAATTAGCTATTGGATTCAGATTTAAGTAATTCTTGACAGCCCAAACAGGCTTCACACTGCTTTGGTTTGCAGTGTAACAGGCAAATGATAAACAATAAGAAAAAAAGAACAGTGTAAGTATTTACAAATAATTATTCCTCTGAGGCTACTTTACAGTAATTATCAGTGTGTTACCAACAGTAATGCATATAACAGCTTTTTGTTTCCAGCCACTGCAGTGATAAAGCATCCTTCCATATCTGCTACACACTTTCTTATTGCTTCCTGGCAAAAGTCCACCCAACTATTTTCTTAGGTGAAAAGAAGAAGAGGTAGTCTTTCACTTAGAATTTATTCCTCCACCATCCTGTGTTCTTCAGAAGGCAGAGTAAGAACTAGTAGTTTCCCATCCAAACCCTGCACAGATTTTTTAAATTTTATAGCATTATTCAAGCCATTTTTATTGTCTTTCAACCCATCAAGCCTCCCAAGGCAATATTCAACTGATAAATACACTTTGAAACATTTAATATATGACTAAAAATGAATTAAAACCAGTTCAAGCTCTTATTTTAAAACAACTACCCAACAAACATATTCAGAGCACATACCCCTACTTTTAAAATTCTCTCTCTCTCTCTCTCTCTCTTTCTCTCTCTGAGGCGGAGACTTCATCTCTCTATGGATGAGTTCACATGTTCTCTGGGGCCGTGCCATTTCAGCAGACGTTGCTGGTGAAATGGACACGTCGTGGCAGCCCACGCACCCTCCCTCCTTCGCCCGTTACATGGTGGCGATGGGACAATGTACAGTCATCTTGTGAGTGTCTCAGTTAGAGCTACCCAAAATACCTTTTCTTCTCCATTGTGGCAGAGGAAGCATCATACAACACTTCCTCTCCACTTCAGGAGGAATGGGATGGGACCAAGCCAGCATCATCTGATGGCACTCGGCAGGCCCCATCCAGAAGAGGAAAAAGGGGCCAAAACCCACAATGTGATTAGATGGTAGGTTGAGAAACTGTTATTGGTCCATATTGAGTAAGATTATGCAATCATCATGGCACAATTGTCACAATTTTGAATGACCCCTTCTAAACAACATCTCAGCAGCCAGCAAGAGAAGTAGGCTTGTTCAACCAATGATCAGTAGGAGTGAGGTTGTGACAATCAAAATGAGACCCCCTTGACTATTCCTCATCATAATCTCACTTCCTAGCAGGAAGGGGTAAAAATGTTATTGTCTTACACTCCAATTACTAGGTGAACAGATTTCCATTACACACTGAAGCTGCTGACTGATAATATAGGTTTGGTGAGTAAGACCAGATATTTCTTAGTCGCATATTTGTAACTAAATACATGATGTAGGGTATTTGGATCCATTTGTGAGCTGGCTATGTATTGAACTCAGACTGCTCTTGGTATTCCCTGTTGCTTTACAACAGTGGTTCTCAGCCTGTGGGTCCCCAGATGTTTTGGCCTTCAACTCCCAGAAATTATAACAGCTGGTAAACTGGCTGGGATTTCTGGGAGTTGTAGGCTAAAATATCTGGGGACCCACAGGTTGAGAACCACTGCTTTACAGATTAAAGAAACTCTGTATCTGATGGCCTAAGCTGTCGAGTCATTGACTCAGCATCCTTGACACACAGTTACTCGTCCTCAGTAATAACATTTGCCATCTAGAACACACTCTGGTGAGCCTATAGTTCCAGTTTTCATCATCAGTGAAATGTTGGAGGGTATGCTACAATGTTCATTGCAAAATTGTAATTTCACCTACAATCAAGGACAAAAATGTAAAGCTCTATCTAACACTTGATTACTGATCCATATCATGTCTTATGGAAATGGTTGTACCAACTATAGGATTTTGGAAGAAGTACTAACATTACAAAATTCTCTCTGTGGGAAATAGATTGAGATCCTTATGCCCTGATATTATGAAAACAAAATTATAGTGTGAGGCCCCAAAGCCTGCTATACCTTTTTGTGTGGTATGAGGACAATATGCCAGGAAAATGTCTCACACTAGAGATATCAACATTTTGCATTCTGCTTGCATTACCACTCACCATATGCATTTGCTCCTACAATTCTGAGAAAAGGCATTGTCAGCTATTACATAGTTTTCGCATCCTGGGCTGGCATGCAAGGAGGATCTTGCTTGAGTTAGGCTGATTAACAAAGAATGAGCTAGCAACTTTCTATTTTGTGAAGTCCTGTGAGGCAATGTTTTAAAGTGTATGGAAGGACTTCATTTTTGCATTCTGAGTCTCTGTTTCAATCCATACCATCTAGAATGCTAAGAAAATATGAGAGAGGATGTGATGGGAAAGGCGATTAGATACATCATCCCGGATAGAGGTTGCCAGTCAGAGTAAACAGTAATGGAATTGTTGGATAAGTAGTCTGACATAGTATAAAGCAACTTCCAGAGCTTTGCTAGATATGTCTACTCAGAGGTACATTCTACTGAGGCCATGACACTTCTCCACCATGTATATACAATTATAGGCTTCTTGCGTGAGTCTAACCCTTTAAACTGAAAACAAATTTATTTTATTTATGTATGGCATGATACATTGCATTTATTTATTACACAATAAATAAATAAGTAACTGAAAACAAAAATAGTTTTTTTATGATGTCCAAAGTACACTATACAAAATTCAAAAACTGTGAAAAAGTGATAACTTATTGGCCAATCAAAATGTAGAATACAATGTGGATTTCAAGGGAAATTATCTTTTATTGCCCTTTGGCCCTGGCATTCATGTGGTCAAGAAGGGGACTGCCTTTGCCTGCACTGAGATCTCTCCAGAATAACTGACTGACAACAGAAACAACAAATGATACATAAGAAAAGGTTTTCCCCTGACATTAAGTCCAGTCATGTCTGACTCTCGGGGTTGGTGCTCATCTCCATTTCTAATCCAAAGAGCCAGCGTTGTCCATAGACACCTCCAAGGTCATGTGGCCAACATGATTGCATGGAGTGCTGTTACCTTCCCGCTGTAGCGGTACCTATTGCTCTACTCACATTTAAATGTTTTCAATTTGCTAGGTTGGCAGAAGCTGGGCTCACAGCAGGAGCTCACACCGCTCCTGGGAACCTGGGACCTTTTGGTCGGCAAGTTCAGTAGCTCAGTGCTTTAACCGACTGTACCTCCGGGGGCTCCTATGATAGATAATGTAGGCCTATGATTTTAGTATTGACTGGATCTACACTGCCAAATAATGTAGTTTGAACTGTATTATATGAGTCTATGCTGACCATCTAATGCAGTCCAAACTGCATTATTTAGAAGTGT